CACTCTATCTATCTTCTACATATTTTCTGGGGAGTAAGTTATTGGTTAGTTTGTTACCGTAGATTTTTATGGCGAATTCTTTCTGGTCGGCTATCTGATCTTACCAGTGAAGGCGAATGTTGATAAAAGTCTGTAACCTGTCGGAAATGCTTCGGATGAAGCCTGAACCAAGTGTCTGACCCATATAGAAGAACAAGACATATAAGCAAACAATATTGTTGTTTTCAATTAGATCTTCTTCGGGCTTTACTCTAATTTACATAGATTTATGTATAAAAATTTTTAACCAATGACGGTGATTTTATGGATCAAATTATAATAATAGTAATGTGGTAAATGTTTTAAACGTAGTTAATAACGATTATTATAATGATAACAAAATATTGATAATAAGGTTTATGCAGGTGGCGATAAGAATAACAAAGGTAGTATTATATGTATATATGTGTGTATGTAGACAGTTCAATAAATAAATTAGGTCAAATCTTAAAAAGTGAAATGGAACGATGATCAGAGTTTAAATAAATATCATAAAAGTACGAAGGAGATGGATGATAAGAAAGGGTGGGAGGGTTTTGAATAGAATTCACCTAGGCAAGGAAGGGAGAGACAAAGGTAGAACAAACTTCTTTTGTATACAAAGACTGAGATTGTTCGCTGGAATTCCCACAGCTTCGGCTAAGTGTAAAAGACGGGTTTTGATTCCGTTCGAAAGACTCGATGGAATGCGATAGATAACTTTAAAGGAACCATTTGTATCCACTTGGTGACCGCTATCAATCAAATTAGCCAAAATAGAACTTCGTATGGATTTTATTTGACCTTTTCCGAACCATGAAGGAAGATGCTCATTAATGCGTTTGTTGAGCTGTCTAGTTGTTCGGCCTATATAGCTTTCTCCACAGAAGCAACTAAATTAATAGATACACATGGAATTGGCACAACTAGGTAGCTTATCTTCCAGTTGAGCAATCAAAATTGGTCGGCTGGAAGATGACAGACAAAGGGTGGTGGCAGTATAAGTCCTTATTTTATTGCTGTAGATAATCTCTGATGTAAGACTTCGCTAGCCACGTCCCCATTAAATTGCAGTTTCATGAACAGTTGTTTCTTTTCAGCTATTGTCAGTTTTTCTTTATTGTACCTGGTATTCATGTGTCTCCTTACAAATCTACTAGGATAACCCATTTGGACCTACGTTATTTTGATGTATCCTAGCTCGTCTTCCAAGGAGTCATCTTTACAGATACGTCTTGCTCTATTCGTGAGGCATCTGACCAAATTGATTTTGTATTGGATCCGTACAAAACTGAGGAAATGTGTATATTGTCCTACAGATGTAGGTTTTCTATAGACATCTCTCTTTAGTGAACCATCATCTCTCCTGCTCAATTGGACATCAAGGAAATGTAGTCTACCATCGTGTTCTTCTTCTTTACAAGTGAAGATGAGCGATGGATGTGCATCACTAAACTTTTTTAACATTTCATTCTTGTCAACTTTCACATCAAGACTAATAAACGTGTCATCAACATAGCGAAAATAAGAATCGGTTTTTTCTATTACTTGTCTCAATGGACCATTTTCAACCTTAGCAAGAAAGAAATCTGCCAAAATTGGCCCCAATGGAGAACCCATAGCAATACCGTCGATTTACCTGTAGTAGAGGTTGTTGAATGTGAAGTGTACTCGTTATGAACTACGTTCAAAACATTTACCACATTATTACTATTAATATTCGATCCACAAAATCACCGTCATTGGTTAAAATTTTATATATAAATCTATGTAAATTAGAGAAATGCCTGAAGAAGGTCTAATTGAAAGCAATATTGTTCGCTTATATGTCTTCTTCTAATATTATAAATGGGAATATTTAAAGATTTGAAATCACGTGTGAATCCCATATAGGAGAATCGACCGAATATTGGTTTTAAAAATCCCAAAGTTTATTGATTTTGCTGATTGCAGAATATTTCCCAACTGAATACCGCGTGAACAATGTCTTCGTCGCCTTTCCGATTCGGAGTGGTTTCGCGGTCATCATCCGTGTTGTCACCTGTAGTTGAAACAGTACTGCCTACACATATGTGTATTAAGTGACCTCTTTCAAATTTGTTCCACTGATAATGATTGGTGCTTTAGTTTCTGTTGGTTACCCATCTTCATCAGCTCCGTCTGCCTTCTTTATGTCCACCTGCACTCCTGTCTTCCCTGACAACCTTCCTTGCCAACTTGCTTTGATTTTCGCCTCTATGTCGTCGAGTTTGCATGACACCAAACATAAGTCATCCATGAAAATTAAATCTTCTGGATTCCAGAATATTCCTATATTGTTGCTTCACGTTTTCCGTTGTGGATCACCCGACATGTGGCATCGTTATATAGCTGTTGAATGAGGTTGATAAAGATGTGAGGGATTACGCTCTATAGTTCTGGAGTAGTTTCCAAATTTCTTTGCGGTCAACTCTGTGGAAGGCGTTTCCAAAGTCGATAATAATAGTAAAGATAAAATGCAATCATGCAAGCAAAGTATAGGAGGTTAGATGTAGACTTTGTGGTGAAACTAGTCCAGCCTTTACAACTACCACGGACCTAGTTCGGCATGTTCCCTTATCCCTCAGCTTTTTTTTGTTTTGTTCTCTGTGTGTGTAATTTTCTCTCTTTGTCTTCATTCAATTCATCCCATCTTTTTTCAGTTATAAAATCAGTTATTTTAAGTTTGTTTCCATGCTCCTCCTGATCACACTGGTAATCCGTTTAGAATAACCATTTTACAATTATATTCCAACCCTGTGTAAATTTTTGTTTCTATGCCTCTTGTAATCTATATTCACACCTCCTAACTAACATTTCAAGTTGAAAATTTTGATTTCAATTTGTTTCCATGCTCATTTTATTCACACCTGTAGTTCGTTCTATCCTGCGTCTCTAAGCCTCTTGTAATTCATATCAAGTCGAAAATAATTATCACCTTTGATTCGCCTTTAAAACTATTATTTCTCCAGTTATCAAATATTAATTTTGCATACGTTGTAACTGTTTTCTAATCCTATGCAATCTTGTCTCTGAGCCCCTTGTAATCTATATTCGTACCTTCAAACTATCATATCAAGTTGAAAATTATTATCACCTTCGTTACTATGTGGAATTAAATAAATAATAATTGTATTCATGTAAACTAATGTATATAAATGCGATTGTACAGGTGCTTTTGAGAATGCAATCGTCGGAAAAGATCGCCATCTTTGCAGAACTTCTTTTTCTTTTCAATCTAATGTTTCAATGGGTATTTTTCACGATTTGAAAATATTAACGCCATAAATTAAATTACTAACCTCAACTGGATACAATATCTAGGAAGTATTTGATGCATGCCTATCCACTAATCAGATTAATATGGAGTACTATTTGAAGTTCCAACGTTTGAATGATCGATAGTTTCTTCTTCTAAGCTGAACATCCTGAGTTTGGCCACTAGTAGTGAGGTCACTAGTGCTCACTGCTGAAGAATCCCATACCAAAAATGAAACAGCTGCACAGATTTTCATATACGTCAGTGTTTCATGAACCTCCTCTAGCCGATAGTAAGACCGAAAACTAGGGAAGACTGACTGAGTAAGGGGCTAGCAACCTCATTCCATAGAAATCACTACCGTTCCTGAAACTCCAGAAGGCCAAGCTCAGAGACCTATGCTGCACTTGTAACGCAAGGAATCAAACAAACAATTTCAAATAGGATAGTTAATGAACAGTTTTTAGACTAAGAAATATCATCAGTTATTGATTTTTTAACTTTAGGGAAGTGTAGGCTTCAAATACTTTGTTTAAATTATGTTTTCAGGCTTTTTAGATTAAATTCTTTATGGTTGATTCTAGAGAATTAAGGTTGTTGATACTTTGCTTACTACTGATGACTAGTAATAAAGCTCAGGTAGGTTATAAGCCACTTAATTAAAGTTAACAACGTGAGGACTAAAAATACGAGATGGATTATATGAAAGTTCTCAGTATAAGTGTAATAACCCTATCATTTAACTATTTATCTTCAAGGAATATACGAAGAACATTTTGCGCAGCATACCTTTGTTTGTCATTCTCTAGCCAACGAATGATTGGGCCGCAAACGACGGATACGCTAGATAGTTTTACCACATATATGTGGATTTATCAATTCAACTGCACCTGCGGTGACAGTTATGTTGGACGTACTACTTAGACAGCTTAGCCAACCACAGTGTAACTGAACATCTCCCATTGTTGTTTGGCAAAGGGCAGACAAAAACAATCTGTAGCTGAATTTTGTCACATTTAGTTGATAGTGGTCATGTAGTCGAGAAAACGGGAGACTACAAAGTAATTTATCGCATGCCACCGAATCTTTGCAATGGACTCCATATTGCTTTACCGTACAAAGATGAGGCGATAGGCATCCGAACTATTAAACCTAAACTATGCAATCAAAAATGTTCGTACGACCATTATCCCTCCCTTATAGGCCTATTAAGACAAAACCAACTAAAGACTTCTACACCACCCCTTTTTCATATATTTTCAACCTCTTTCTTATCATCCCTTAATCTCACCACATCTTCATTATAAACGTGTTTCATTTCCTTCCCTTACAATCTAACATTATTTAATCGGTTAATTTGTTTTTACTAGCGTTTATCGACTACTTCCACCTGAACAATTGTTTGTTTAATCATGCTGTTTGTTCATTATTCGTGTTATCACAGATTGCCTCACTTTTTCATCCTTATTATTGATAAGACCATTATTATTAATATTATCATTACTACTACTATGACTAATTGCACAATTTATATTCACCATCGTATTATCCTATAGACAAAACACCATGATTGGTTTATATTTGAATTTTTATTTGTAAACTTATATATATTAGAGTTAAGCCTGATGAGATCTAATTGAAAACAACGTTGTTCGCTTAAATGTGTTGTTCTAAATTTATCTATTTTTTTTGTTTATATTATTAGGCGCTGAACGTGAACGACCTGAAGTAGAATCACAAATGCGTCGTCCTGGTGAATCAGAATTAGATTACTATGAACGTCGTTATCAAGAACGAGTAAGTGCTGTGTTTTGAAGAATATACATGTAACTTTTTAAAAAAATAAAAAATTTAAATTAAAGAGAAACCCCCCCAGTTTTTAATTTTTAGTTGTTTTTTTTAATTTTTTTTCCCCCCCCTTTGGGGGGGGGAGAACAAAAGGGGTGAAAAAAACAATTGGTTGTTTATGGGAAAAACTTTCCAGACAAATGACAAAATCAAGGGGGAAATTTTAAAAAAGGGCGTTAAACCCGAATATGTTAAAAAATTTTGAAAAAAAATTTTAGAAACCCCTTTAAAACCCCCATTTTAGGAATTGAATGAAGACGTTTTCACCTTATTCTGTCTGCGCCTGAACTAATCTGTCTATCTGCTCGTCGTACCTTCCGACTTAGTAAAGCACGCAAATATCAAAAGACAAAGGCTGGACTGTGACTGTGTATTGAGGTGCAACAACGATAAAGAAAGCCATGGTATTTATACATTTTACAACAATATGGACAGCTAACAGCATTTGAAATAATTTATCTTAATAGCCAATAACAAAGTGCGTGAGAGATGATAATATACCATATGTGCGAGGTTGACAGTCAGTAACAAAATGTGTGGGAATGATAATATACCATATATACAAAATTAGCAGTCACTACCAAAATGTGTGAGAATGACAACATACCATATATGCAAGTTTAAACAGTCAATACCAAAATATGTGGGATCCTATCAACATGTAAACATTTACGCATGATAGAATCTTAAACGGGGACATCAGTCTCCCTCCCTTCACCCAGTGTTACTGGGAAGCCTTTTTGACGAGTCCCAAGAAGCACAAGATGTAGGTTTAAGGTTTCCTGTTAATCGCCTCCGATCACGATGAAATGTTATCTGACCTGATTACCTCATTGCAGACTGGCTGACAGAATTCAGAGAGTACTGTCAGGGGTTATGGCAACTGCTCCTGATATGCTTAGCTGAAAAAGGCGTACAAACCTTGACAAATGAGTTGGTAATCTATTATTGAGTAGCATGGGGTGGGGTTGACATAATTGATATAATTACTCAGAAGTGGCTTTAGGAGTAAAAAATCGAAAGTTGTAAATTACAAGGTATTCAACGGCACAAAGTTAAATATTTGATAAGGTTAAAATTGCTACCGAGTGAGGAGAAAGGTGATAGTTGAGTGTCAATTTAACAAGTGTGAAGACGGTGTGAAAGTGTACTGAGGAACATATGAGAGTGATATTAATAATCTTCCGATTTGTGGGAAATCAGACATATATCATCGGCGAAGTCCAGATGAGTCCATTTTATACCTGTTTCCTCATTGCCCGTTGTCTGTCGCATTATCCAGTCTACTTCAATCAGGAAGATCATTGGTGATAGTATACAGCCTTGTCTCACTCCCGTCCTCACTTCGAAGGATTCCGTAAGTTTCCTGTTGTGGATTACTTGGCATGCAGCATTGTCGTACAACTGTTGGATAAGATGTATAATTGTCGATGGGACCCCTTGGTAGTAGCGAAGTAGTTGCCAAATGACCACTCGATCGACGCTGTCGAAGGACTTTTCAAAGTTTTGTTTACAATGTTGGGTTGCTAGCCTCACGCCTGAGAAAGGAACTGTTACATTACATAAAGAATAATGAGAATCCAATTGGACTGGGAGTTCATAAAGGCTGGATGTATTTGCACGGCTGAAAACAATTTTCAGGTAGTATCCCTATAAAAAAATCTCCAGTCACTGGTTCTTAGTGTCTTCAAGACATTAGTCAGCTATTGTAGACCTCTTTACCTGGTTCAATCCCACCGGCCAAAAACTTCATGGATTGATCATATGCTTTAATTTGACCATCCTCCTGTGACTGGTTTCAAAAACCCCACGACAACAGTTGTGACTCCCTACGGGCAATATATATTCTTTTCATCTCAGTCGATTCAGCTACACAACCTAATTGAATGATTTCACCCCCCCTTAAGCATTTCCCAAAAGAGATAGAACTTTACCACAACTTGACCACAGACCTGTTGCCTTCTTCATTTTTTCGACTTTCAACAGTCACGTCTCACAGCCATCAAATAGATGTGGCTTAGGCACTGTAGTTGTTGGATATATCACACAGTCTGTGAAACACTATTATTGTTTACTGGATGACAAGGTTTCGAACGCAATTCATTATTGTTCATAATCATTTCATCAGTTATAATCACATGACTTTGAAACTTCAGTTTTATAATTTTCTTTGTTCTCAACCATTTATTGTGGTTTTGGGTAGTAGGATTTCCCGAATATCTGGCTGGACACAGGTGTTGGATCATACGTATTACACGTATTTTCATCCAGCTGACTCGATAAACAAAGCTTCCGTTGCTCTTAATCTCTCCCTCCACCCAGCTGTTACATTAGATCTTAAAACTATCATCCTATACCATCCTATAGTAGTAACCCTGTGTGTTACTGTATGCTGTGAGTGCCATAGCTGAACTATTCTTCACATTCCTAGTCATATTCGGGTCAAATAGTCTAGATTTCGCCAAGTTTTTATGCTCATTTAGTCTGAATGACTGCACCTGTTCTACTACTTTGACCTATATATTCGACCAGACATTCATCGCAGGTTAGATAAACTAAATCGTTTTGTTTTTAAGGCTTGATCCTTTAACCGACAAAGCTTGTTTTTAAATGAGTTTGTGAGTTTAAATGCCGCTTTTATTCCTGCCTGCTTTGTTAAGAATTCTGCGTAAGGTGGTTTCAAAGGTTCCTTCCTTGTGTGGAATTACCATTGTTGGTGTTATCATTATCTTGCGCATGTTTAACATTCATGTCGTCATTAAGATTACTATTATTATTTATTTTATTTTTTATATTTGCCTAAGTACTTCCTGATTAATTTATCAGGGCAATGTATTAAGTTTCAAAGCTCCTGTTATATGCCTCACTGCCGGTCTTAGATTTTTCTTGGTACTACTTACTTTTTGTGCCATATTGTCACTTAAACATTTCACCAATCCTATTTTCACTGACACAGACAAGGTGGGAGGATCTGAAGTCCAAATATCTGTTTGAATGTGTGGGTTTCCTGTAAACAAACTAATATGCGTTTAACTTCCCATCTTCTTTCCTTTTTACGTTGCAATCTAAGATTGGAAGCTCCCTGAGTTCCTGACTTTCCAATTCACAAGTGAATTGAACTGCCCTTCGAGTTGATGTGTTCAAAAAATTCTATTTACGCCTTGAACGTTTCAATCGCTATTCTTGTATATATCTGCGACAACTGGGGATATTGGTGACCCCATGCAAACCCGCTCAGTTTGTTTGTATATTTTCCCTTGTAATTTAAATACTATGGAATTCAGGTATAGCTGCACTCCCAGTATCATGTTCTCAAGTGGCGCTTTCGTCATAACTTCGAGTTCTTGGTCAGAAATGAGTTCGTTTCTGACTGCCTCTATAACCATATATGTTGGTATACGTGCATATAAATTGACAATGTCAAAACTAACCATTTTTTCTTCATTATCTAATTTTAAATTATCTAATCTGTGTTTTAGTTCATAAGAATTAGTTAGTCTAGATTTCGAGTGGCTTTTTATAGGATTTAATACTATGGCTAATTATTTAGATAATTCATAAGTAGGTGAATTTCTAAAATCAACTATAGGCCTAATAGGGTATCCTGACTTAGGAATTTTAACAACACCATACATCCTACTAGGGTTGTTAGCTTTTGGGCATTAAATTAAACCACTTAGACTCACCTAGAAACGGCTTCATTCGGCGTTTAAGGTCCGCTGTGGATTTCTTAACTTTATTCATAACTGTGTCTATTGGTTTATTACTTTCCTCATATGGTCTAGCTGAACTCCTTCTTCTCTTTTTGGTTTAGGAAAAAGCCAAGTACATTAAAAAACCACGTCAAATAGAAAAACGATAATTGGAGGCTAAAATTCTTTTTTAACAATCTCTAATGTGCAAAAACATACATAATTTCAAGCTGATTATTTCTATACTGTTTAATATAATTTGTTATCAAGTTTACTATTTCATCTAGTGATTTATTGATTTTTACCTCATTTCGTTGTTTAGATATATATATACAGTTTAAACAAAAGTGAATATATATTAAACATTGAACATTATTTTATTTTCTAAGGTTGATCTTCTTTTTCAGTTTTTTTTTTTAATTTTACCATACTGTTTTTATTTCTTTCTTTCCCAAATCATATTTCCTGCAGTTATTTTTAATATATTTACTTTTGAAAATTTGTTTTAAACAGGGAAAAAGTTAAATGTTCAATAGACTAAGTGTGGTCAGAATTCAAAAATGCATTCAATTGTTCAATATTAAATAAAAACAAAATGTCTGACTCTGTTTTTTTTTCAAAATGAAACATAAAAATAATAACGATGATAAATATGAATTAATTGGTGAGAATTGTAAACAGCTGAAAGGTACTATGTAGCAAAGATCTTAGTCAATGTGTGTGTTTGTGTGTGTGTAAGAGTTCAGTCATCCGGTGGACAAGCTCTAGCCATAGATCTGACAGGTGGTCGATTCCATGTATGAGATGTCGGTGAAAAATCATTATTACTACTGTTATTACGATTATCATTTGCATCCCAGTAACCATCAGCATTTCTTTGCCTTCGTTCTCTATCTCGACGTCTACGTCGACCGCCACCAGCACCACTGGCAGCACCATGTAATGCCAGTGTTTTTGCTTCATATTCTTGTCTTACACGAGCCAATTCCTCTTCACGTTGTCTTGCTTGACGAGCTGACCTACTCTGATAGACTTAAATGTTTTTTAAAAGAAAATGTGGAATGATTTAAAATTAATAACCTTGTAAGCACAAACAAAAAAGTACACAAAAATCTGTTAAATGTTCAAGGTATCATTTAGCTAAGCAAAATAATTACTAAAAAGTTAAAAAACCTAATCAAAAGACTTTTAATGCTGGTGAACCACAAGTCATATTTTCTACACGACTGCTTGTGGTTCCTCAACTGAAAAATGAAGTACCTAGACTAGCCACTTCTAATTGTATCTACCAGTTCAACTGTACTTGTGATGGAGCCAGTTATATTAGCTGTTGCTCTAGGAACTTGAGTTCTCGTGCTCTCTAAGGAACATCTACCAGTATGGTTAAATAAAGGTGTAGTGAAAACCATCTTAAACCCAGTTCGATATTAGACCACCTGGTCCAAATCGGGTACAAAGTTAGTTAGCATTGAAGAATCCTTCTTCATCATCTACTGGGTACCGAATAAACTGCCAAAAGCATTCAGGTGCCGCATATTCCAAACATGAGAGGCTATGGCAATTCGCCTTAACCAATCAGTTCTCTGACAATCACGAGCACATCGAGGGAGTGGCCATCATGATGTCACCAACAGCAGCCAAAGCTCTCATGCAGTGGGAACCAATCTCCTCCAGGATAATGACAGCCAGGTTCAAATCAAAAGGATGGAAAGTTACAGTCATTCAATGTTATGCGCCTACAAACGTCTCAGAACAAGAGAAGAAGCAGGCGTTCTACAGACAACTACAATCCTGATGGGTGATATGAATGCGAAGCTGAGGGCAGACAATACAGGAAGAGAACTCACCATGGGTCGAGAGATACTCTGTGAAAGGAACGACAATGGTGAACTCTTCTCAGACTTCTGCGCCTTCAATGATTTGGTGATTGGTGGTAGTGTATTCAAACACAAGGATATACACAAGACGACATGGATTTCACCAGATGGAAACACCAAGAATCAAATAGACTTCATCTCAATTTCAAGAAAGTGGAGACGGAGCCTACTGGACACAAGGTCGAGGAGAGGAGCAGATGTGGGTTCAGACCACTATCTAGTACAAGGGACTTTCAAGGTGAAACTAAAAGCCTCGAGGATAGCTGGGGATAGGCCACAATGCAAGTTCAACACTCAAAAACTGAAGGACATAACCATAAAGGACACTTTCACTGCAACTGTCAGAGCAAAGCAGGAAACACTACGCAACATCACTGAAGAATCATGCGTGGAAGAACATTGGAAGTCTCTGAAGGCGATTCTCAACGAAACGTGTTCAACGGTTCTAGGAAGAAAGAAGAGACAAGACAAGGAATGGCTCTCAACGGACACTTGGAAATTAATAGAAGAGAGGAGAATGGTGAAAGAGAAAATGATTCAATGCAAGGACGGACAGGAGAAGGAGACGCTGAGCTCAACTTACACAGCACTGGACAAAGAAGTGAAGAAGAGTGCTAGGAAGGACAAAAGAATTCTACGACAACCTGGCCACTGAAGCTGAAAAGACAGCAGGCAAAAGGGACCTGAGGACACTATATCAGATAACCAAGTCTCTATCCGGGAAGAGATCAGCACAAGTGAAACCTATAAAAGACAGCCAAGGGAACCCATTACCAGATTAAACAATGGGCGGATAACCCGACCATCACCTGCAACCCGTCCAGAAATACCAACAACAGCGCGCACACAACTGCAAGTTGACACCAATCCTCCAACGAAAGCTGAAGTCTTGAATGCAATCAAGCTTCTGAAAGCTGGAAAAGTAGATGACCGGATGGAATACGCCCTGAAGCACTGAAAGCGGACCCAGAGACGGCAGCAGATATGCTGACTCCATTATTGCAAAAGGTCTGGAAGGAGGGAAAGGTGCTTACTGACTGGAGGAAAGGTTACCTCGTGAAACTACCAAAGAAGGGCGACTTAGGCCCTCTGCAAGAACTGGCGAGGAATCATGCTCTGCTCCTGTCGACGCCAAGTAAAATCCTGAGTCGCATCATCCTGGAGAGAATGAAAGACGCATTGGATACAGAATTCCGACCAGAACAAGCTGGATTCAGGAAAGGCAAATCATGTCCTGACCGAATTGCAACTCTACGCATCATCATCACAGAACAAAGCATAGAATGGCAATCAAACCTCCACCTCAACTTTATAGAATTTGAGAAGGCCTTCAACGACAGTGTTGATCGTGAAGTAATTTGGAAACTACTCGAGTACTACGGCGTACCCCAAATATTCATCAACCTTAATCAACAGCTGTACGACAACGGCACTTGACAAGTGGTCCACACCGAAAACTCAGCGAGGCGTTTGGAGTAAACACAGGAGTCAGACAAGGGTGCTTATTATCACCAATGATATTCCTAATTGTGGTGGACTGACTGGGTTATGCGTCAGACAGTGAGTGGGAAACGAGAAGACAGGGATAGATATCCTGGACCGACGTGAAGAACCTAGAAGACCTGGATTTCGCGAGTGGATGATTTATGTTTGATGTCACACACAATCGAAGACTTACAAGCGAAAACCGACAAACTGGTCGAAGAAGCAGCCGGCGAAGACAGGACTCCAGGTGAACATAGACAAGACGGAGGTTATGAAAATAACCAACCAACAACAGCAACAGCATCCAACGTCAATCACCATCAACGGGAGGGATTTGAAAGAGGTTACTTCATTCACTTATCTAGGGAGCATTGTCTCAACTACAGGAGGAGTGAGGACGAGGATGTCAAATCGAGCGAGAATCGGGAAGGCGAGAAACACATTCATCAACCTGAAATCAATCTGGAAATCTTCGTCACTCAGCATCACCAACAAAATTCGGATTTTCAATACAAACGTCAAATCAGTCAGTTCTTCTATACGGATCAGAAACTTGGCGGGTCACGAAGAATATTTCCAACAGCCTGTTGCAGACCTTTATTAAAAACTGTCTTCGCTGGCTGTGTACTGAAGATCAGATGGCCGGGCCGGAAAGAATCACCAACAAGAAACTATGGGAACAAACAAAACAAGAACCAATCGCCCAACAAATATGCAGCAGAAAGTGGAGATGTATTGGACACTTGCTAAGGAGACCGGTTGGTGACGTCGTGCGTCAGGCCATTACTCTAGTGGAACCCGAGAGGGAAGCGGCGAGTGGGTCGTCGGTGCAAGGGTGACATGAAGGAGATCGTGTGAAGAGTAGTTGAAACAGTATGGTCTAACGTGGATGCAGGTGAAATGTACAGCAGAAGACAGAAGCAAGTGGAGACGTGCAGTTGAAGCCCTACGTTCTACTAGGAACCCAAGGAACAATAATGATAATAATCAGTTCTCTGTGTCCCGAAGAAGAAAGTCTAACCACCCACTACTACTGCCCTGGTCAGCCTTCAGTAGAGAACATAAATTCATGAATTTGTGTATTATTATCTTTCCTAATTTTTCTGATATTCAGTATATAGTATAATGTTGATGCTACTGAACTGTAATCCATTGGTATTATTATTATTATTGATTCGATGTTATTTAACCAACATTAATGTAGCTTACAACACTAATTCATTCACTACTATGTATATATAGCTGTAGAACTTGATGATAAAGGAGTTATCGAAAAGAATATACCTTGTTCAATAACCGTTCTTTTGAAACGTAAGAAATAATCAATATGAGTTATTCTTCAACCTACTGGATAGATATCTATGGAACCTAATGAAAGGGAATTTATCGTCCCTCGAAACCCTGAAATCATTGTTCTTTTCCATACACTATTGTGGTGAGAGCTGTCTGCTAGCCGAAATTGGTAGACAGCAATTTACACTAATATTTACGTCCCATATCTTGGTCATGAGAAAAGACAAGGACAGTGACTACATCAACAACCAATCACGGCAGACTTAGCGTGGGTGGATACGATTAAGTAGATATGTCGACGGACTGTCTAAGAAACGGTAACAAAGAGGATGACCTTTAGCAGGAAAACAACCAATCAGAAGACGTTACCTCTCTGCTATCAATAATGAATAATAATAATGTACATAAAAATCTACAAATATCTACTGATTTTCTCGATATACGATCTGTTGCCTGGTCCTTGTCCTCTGTTGTTGCAATATTTTTTTTTATTTCCTAAAGTTCTTTGTCAGTACAGACATAAAAGTTCATCAAGAGTTGAATTCACAAAAAATTCAGATAATAAGGTGGGAAAATGTGCTTTTTACCCACTAGACTAGGGCTCAATGATCTCTGTGTTCCAATATTGTAATTTCAACTCTCAAACCTAAGTTAATTAACTTTTATTTTTTCGATCATAACCTACTACACTCGATCTTGAGTTTAAATCGAGTGGGACTGAATTTTTCAGGGTAAGATTGAAAAGCTAAACTATTATTTTGCAGGCATAAACACTTCGTATTATGCATTTAAGAGAACCACTATTATTATTACTATTATTTATTGTTTCCTTTAGTTCCGAGAGGAACGTAGGGCTTCAGCTACACGTCTCTATTGCCTTCGGTTCTCTGCCAACGTTTTCACTTGACTCCATATCTGTCCACATGTTACCATCCCCTCTTCACATT